AAACTGTTTAGATTTTAAAAAATAAATTCGGAAAAAAGATTTTTCTGACTTGTGAATAGAAACCACTATTTTGGGCAAATGTGGAAAATGGCGAATAACTTCTGAAATTTTTATTCAATTTTTATGTTAAGCCATTCGAAATGTTTGTACTAAAACAGTCTTTAACATCAATCAAAAAAAGAATTTTTTTAAATATTTTTGTGTGAGTCCCATCACATTGAAAATCGAAAAAGTTGAAAAAAGCGTAAAAAAACATTTTTAATCTGTACATTTTTAGCTATAGCAGCGAAACTAAATAAATTACATTAACCTTATGTAACTCAAAATGTTTGTACAAGTTTCACCTTTAATATATCACGCACTACTATGGTAACTTCAAAAATAAAGTTACGGAGCCATATGTAGGGTGATGTTTTGAAAAAAATCAAAATAACGGTTTTTTGCAAACAACTCGAAAATGGTACACAGGAAAAAAAATCGTTGTGATTTTCGAGTTCTACGGAAAATTTCCCTATAGGAAATATAAGTCTCGTCTTCAAAAAAACAAAACTTTTAATTATTTATAAACTAGTGTAATTTACAAAATCCATTTTTGATATTTTAAACTTTTATACAAGTTTTTAACAAAATTGTTAATTGTTATTTGCTGGGTTTGTTTCATTCTGTTCATTATATGCAATTTTTCTTGAACTAAGAAATTGTAAAATGTTTTATATTTATTTGCAGCTATTAATTGCAATATTTTGGCAATTATTTTACGGCGCTTTATTCGTATGTAATTTAATCATTATTGAGAATTTTATTTTGTTGTGCAGATTCACAGCAGAGCAATGTAATAATATTTTGATCCATAATTTTCATTAAAATATATAGTAAACAAACACAATATTCACAAGTATCAAAATGTAAACAAAACAAATGTAAACAAAAGATAACAAAAACAACAACTGTCAAAATGAAAACCCAAAACGGTGATGTAAACGCTGAATCAACTTTAGTAAAATTCGTTTACTAAAGTTCGTAATGTAATCATAGTATTAGTCTCAGTTTTAAAAAATTCTGTCTTTTCAACATTAATCCTAAGTTTCGCTGCCTTTAAACGCCGTAAAACCTCTCGTAAATTTTTAAATTGATGTTCAAGTGCCCGTTGGAGAGTGGCGGGTGCGGAATGCAAGCAGAATGGTAACACACGCCAATGGAATAGACCTCTACCTGGTACAGTAAAAGTAGTGTACTGTTTGCCTTTATCTTCCATCAGTATCTGCCAATAACCATCCATTAAGTCGATACTGCTAATGAATTTAGCGTTTCGCAACCGATCCAGGATATAGTGGATACGTGGCAATGGATATGCGTCTGAAATGGAATTGACATTAAACTGCCGATAATCTATGCAAAAACGCCAGTCCCCATTTTTCTTTTTAACCAATACTACAGGGGCACTATAAGGACTGTTAGACGGCTCGATGCACCCTTTTTCCAATAATTCATCCACTTTGTCATTGATTATTTGTTGCATGGCTAGATTTTTTGAAAATTTGATTGGGCGATCGTCCTTCATGATAATTTTGTGTGCTGTGACGTTGGACAATCCTGATATCGCCTGGAATTCCTATAATTCTTTGTTCAAAAATTGATGTATCAGTTTATCTTGGTCTACTTCTGTTTGTTAGGAATGTGTTTTTGCCAGAGTGGATTGTGTTGTCTGTTGCGCTGGAATGGTTACGTTGTGACTAAGTTGATAATGGTTAGAATTATTTATTGCTTGTTGACTTACAAGCTCAGTTTGTAGTTGGTTGTCTGGCAAAGATGGGATATCTATTGAAGAAACTGAGGCTATTGTTTGATACACTTTTAGATGGTCTCGTTGTGCACATGTTTGGTCTAATTTTAAGTTGATTTCCCCAATTGTGTTAAATTCAAACCTGAAATTACCTCATCTGTGCCCTTGGAGAAGACCAAAAGTTCTGCTCGGTCGCTACCCCTGCGGCCGAACGCTCCTGCTTTTCGTTTCCCGAATATTTCCGTATGGGTTTTTCCTGTTCGAGGTGTAATAGCTCAAAGTCTTCGTCCAATGCTACCAGTTCCTCCAGATTCACGAAATCACGACGTTTAATTTATAACTGGTAGTCCGTCCCTGAATTACGATATATTCGCTCCAATTGCTGACTAGTATTGAATCCGGCACGTCGCATTAAATTCTGTATAGTGACAACATAGTCTTTAAAAGGCTCTCGTTGCTTTTGTCTGCGCGCACGGATCTCATCCTCTAATTTCTCAAAATACCTTGCTGGTAAGAAAAATTTAAGAAAGTCGGACTTAAAAGTGACCTACAGTTTCCATAGTTTATTGTTGTTTCTGTACCATATCAACGCTTGTCCTTTAAGAGTTCGGGCACAGTGCGTGGTATAGTGTTAATATTTAACCCATAGACTTCTATCAATTCTTCGATTCGCTCGATGAACATTAGTGGGCCTTTGCCCCCATTATATTTGATAGCCCACTTCCTTACTTGTTCAATGGTTTGTGGCATAGGTGAGACTGCGATCTGTACTTCACTGACATCTGTGACAAATATTGGATCAATTCGTCCGTTCGTAGATGATACAATCATGTTTACTTGTAGTGGTTAGTCTTCGTAGCTCCTGGTCCCCGTTGTCGACCTTAGATTTATGTTCTACTGACATGGTTGTTCCTGGCTGAGATAACTTCCTTAATAAAAAAAATTTAAAACACGGTCTCTTTTTTTTTACGAAATAAGGACACTGCGTTAAATATTAGTTTTTAAATGTTTCTTTATTAGTTAAATTTCTTAAGTCTAACAATTATGATTTTCCTACCACTTTTACTTGGCGGAGTAAAATATATATAACTATAATCAATTGCTTATAAAGAAGGAAAAAAAAAATATAAATGTATTCACGCCTATGAGTAAAGAAACATAAACGTATTCACGCCTATGAGATTTAGTTGGAAACACATAAATGTATTCACGCTTATGTGGAATTTGGAAAGAACATAAACGTATTCACGCTTACGTGGGGTTTGGTTGAGGAAATTTATATAAATATTTAAATAAATTAATATAAAAATAAAAAAAACATTGTTGACGCGGTTTTCTTGATACTTAGCTATCTACGATGATTGCTGGAAGTTCTCCTGCGTGCTTCTGGTGACTTGGTATGTTGATCACTAAGTGCTCTGCTTGAACAAATGCGTCGTCTTATATACGCATCAGGCCGGACAGCAATGTAGAGCAATTGTTCTATTTACTGTGTTTTTGTCGCTGTTATAAGTGTGCATTCATATTCGCATTCTCCTCTTATTTGTTTTCTTTACAGCTTGTTTGAGTTTTTCGCCGCGTTTACTTGCTAATTTATATGCGCACGCATTCTTCTCTTTGCGGTTGCCATGTGTGATTCCGTTTGTCGTTTGCGTAAACGTGGATCTTTTTACCACTTCGTAAAAAGTAAAAATAATTAAATAAAAATGAAATAAAATATACATTTGATATAAATTTTATAAACAGAAGAAAACATATTAATTAAATTGAGGTGCTACCATTGAATAGATATTAATTTATTCATTTATAATTTCAGTGATATATTTTTCATCGTTTTATTTTCAATGTTACATGTGATATACAGTTTGTCAACATTGTGTTTTATTTTTATGTAGGATAGAAATTCATAAAAATTTCTGTCCTTACAATACTCGTAATTAAAAATAAGTACAAATTACATATAATTAAATAATGTATTATAAAATAAAATGGGTTTAATTAACATTTACGTTTAATTATGCAAAATGTTGTTTTGATTGTAATTTTGCATGTAACGCAATTATTTATGCACTTTTTTTAAGCTATTTATATTCTTTTCATGAATTGAAATGTATTGAAATTATGTTCTACTTAATCTCATGTTGATAATGTTTTTCATCTTAATATGTCCGTATTCGATTCGAATACGGACCTAAAGATGTTGAAGTTGGAAATAATCGTGCGTTTTGAGATTGTATTTGTGAAATTTCTAAGAATGAATTTGTTTTGTGTCGTGGTCATTTAAGTTTTCGTTCTATATAAAATCTTCTTTGCATCCAGTCTTCGCATGCCTTTGAAGACATTTGCTTAATTTGGTTGAAAATGTCTTCGAAAATTTCTACATTTGAATCGATCGGTTTTCAGGCATGTATCTATGTTTTTACGAGTCGTCGTTGACGGATCAATCCGTTTTCTACTGGGCATTTAAGTTTTCGTTCTGAATAAAATCTTCTTTGGCTTTACGTTTGTAATTAATTCGAATTGATGCGTATGAACTATGCAATATTTTAAAAATCTAGAATTGAGGATGAGATGTATAATATGCGATATAAATATAAATGTGAAATAAATGCCTTTTAAAAGTTCTCCGAATTTTTTTAGGTTACAAAAATATCGAAATCCAACAAGACATGTATGTATGTACATAAAGCATTTTTCAACTTTTTTTAATTTTATACAACATTGACGTATATTGTAATTGCTTCATCCCTTCTATTATTTACCCAATGTGTAGATAATACATACTCATAAACTGTATCCAACATTTTTTAACTACATCATCAAAATAGTAATGCAATGCGTGTGTACGAATGAAATAGCACAATTGAAAGTTTCTGTCATCTCTCACACTTTTATAATGTACAGTTTGAAACAAGAAAGATATAATGACGCTTACAAACCGACGCTCTGTTTTGAGATCAATATTAAACTAGAAGGAATAAGATGAACGAGATTTTTTGTTTTGCTTGTTTTTAAATTTTATTATTATATTTTTTAATATTGCGATTTAGCTTAATGAATATTCTAAGCAAAAACAGAATTCAACCAATGTGTTACACAGAATTCAATCAATAATCGATAGCAACCGGTTTTCGTTGCTATCGTCTAAAAACTCTTTGCGATAAATGGTTTGTCAAACAGAAATAAGAATGTAATAAAGAAAATTATCTCTTATAACCATTTGAACGGTGTTAGATGGTATCAAAGCAAATATGCCTGATCCCAGTTAAATTTTTTTGCATTTTTTTTTTCGAGTGAGGGTAACATTAATTACTCCATCGCTCAACTAAATTCTTATCATATACACGAAAGAGATAACCATTTCTGTATTTCTCTATTTCATACACGCATACAAAGTATTGCTCTTGTATTCCATATTCTATATGAAAGGTATTGACATTAATAAACAGTACAAATCAGTTCGGTAAAGAGTTTGGTGTTCGTGCGGAATAAGGAAGTGGAGATTAAAGCATGAAAATTAAATTTAAAATAGTTATTAGTGCATTCTTAAAATATGATAATTTCTGATTTTTGTGTTATGTTTCGTACAAGTGTATAAAAATCTTGGTAAAGTTTTCACAGGTGCTTGGCCTTAACAAAAATAATCTACATAATTATTAAGTGCGTTCCTTACTTTTTATGTTGAACAATTATTGTTTGGTTTTTGTGTACATAAATAACGTATGCCATTATGCTGTATGTGAACTTTTAATTTTGTTCAATTTGATTTTACTTTAAACAATGGATCCTCATGCTTTAAAGTTTATTTCAAAAAGGTATTTTTTTTTGATAATTTTTAAATTTCTTGGATACATTTGTTCTGCTAGCTTTGCTATTTTATGTTCGTATATTGTGTATGTGAGTTCAATTTGTGTTGGTGGCGTTTGGTGTTGCTGTTCGTATCAATTTATAGGCACACAATTTTTAAAGTAATTAAATTACTTTAATATATTCCATTTCTTAACAATAAAAACAATATTGTCTGTATCTTACGTTATTTTACATATATAAATTTAATAACTCAGAACTATAATTACAAATCTAATAATAGGAAAGCGAAAAATGTAATGGCTTCATATATTAAATAAATCATGCCTTAATGTTTGCTGTTAAAAAAATGATTGGCAATTGTAATGATGGTAGACTTAAAGTATTTAGAATTACTTGCGGTTTTTTTTTATCAATATCTCCCATTTTATATATTTTGTTTTTTTATAGAATGTACATTGATGAAACTGGTTAATAGAAAAACATTGCTTGGTAGTTTTAATTTTTTATTAAAAAATTTAATCTGGCATCTCTATTATCTTTACTCTCAGAATGCAGATATTTTCTCTACTCAATCGGACGCCTTGTGTATACTATTTTATTGTTCACTATTTTATTTTCAGACACTACAAATATTCAGGTGTTTAATAAATACTTTTATCCCTCTTTCTATATGTATAGTGTTGTGTTGTTCTTACACACATAAAATATGTTGATTTTCTGCATAACGAAAAATTTTATATACGATTTCATTATGATTTTAATATTTTTAGTGATTAACTTCGTATTAGTTTCTAGTGTTGACGCTTAAATTGTTCCGTATTTTTTAAGAAAAGGAAATAAATATCACTTTGCAGAAAAGTAAGTTAGCAAAAGCGACGAGAGAGAGCTTAACCCGTAATTAACAATGTTTATTTTGATTTATTGTATTATCGTCCGCTTTTTAATACGATGGTTCTCACACTGCGGCACCTAATGTTGCCATGGTGATTTCCGCATATATTGTTTAGCTTCAGTTTCCATTATTAGTCGGAAATATTACATTTGGTTTTGTTAATTTTAAAAATTTGTGAATACATATACTATATTATTTTATTTGTTAAGAAAAAGTGTTTATTTTTGGAGAATACATGTTATTAATAACAGTTCTACTATTTTATGGTCCGAGGAAATAACATTATGTATTGTAGTTTTTTAAAATATTGATTACAATAAAAAAGTTCTACAACTTTGATGATATAAATTAAACATTTCTCATTTATTAACAATGGTGCAAATTTTTTTACTTTAAAAAAAATTTTCACATGTTACACGTAATGTCTTAATAACTATAATATATTGTAACCATGTCAACGATGGTAGAAGATTTCTAATTGTGTGTAATATTAGGATCTTGATCAGTATTTCAGTAGTTAAATATAATTGTTTTAGTACATTAAACTGTTATGTAGTCCTTTCAATTAACGAGTTTCATAAATTTTTAATTATTTTCAGTTCTTTAAATAATATCAAATAAGTTGGTATAAAAATAATAAGCTTTTACATTACAATTAATTTATAGAACAGATATTGTTATTGATAACCCAACATCTTCTAATTCGCACTTGGCTCAGCCTCTAAAGGACAATACTAATATTAGAATAATTAAAATCAAATCGGATCAACAAGAAACTGAAAGTGTATCGAAAGCCTTAAAACAGCATCAAGAATCTAGCATAATAAAAAACAACGATCGTCCGTTGAAGTGTCTTGAAACTTTGGCACAAAAGGCTGGAATAACATTTGACGAAAAGTACGATTTTGCTAGTCCTCCACATCCTGGAATTAATAGTTGTAATAATATTTTAGGAAATACATCAGTTTCATCAATAATTTCCGCTGTACAAAAAAATTTCGTAATGGAAAAATCACAAAGTCCTGTTCAACAAATAACACCATCGACTGTGTCTCTGCAGTTCTCTCCAGAACAAATACAGCAATTACAACAGCTACAATTACAACATGGATCAACTTTTGCTGCAATTCAAGTTAAACAAGAATTTCCAACACATACAACTACTGCGCATCAATTAAGCAGTGGAACCGCATCATCGGGAGAAATTAAGCATACTGCCATTATGGATCATTCTCAGGGCCAGTTACAACAAATGCAAATGCAATTAGCTGATACTAGTACAGGCACGTCAGCCAGTTCTGGTACTCACCAAACACCAACTAGTGCAGGCGCTTCTGTTGCTACCATGCAGCAGCATTCAACGACAATAAGCGCTATGCCTTCTATGCAGTTAGCTACAACAGGCCAGGTTCCTGCCGATTGGAGTCAAGGCCGTACTGTACAATTAATGCAACCGCCTACTCCCATCAATTCTGGTTTTATTTATCAGCCACAGATGATCGTCCCCGGTAATCTCATACACTCAACTGGACTTGGACAACAACAAATACAGGTAATATCACTATGTGTACAAGTATGTTATTTTTAAAATATATATTCAAAATAGGTCATCACAGCCAGTAAACCATTTCAAGGAGGTACACCTCAGATGATAACTGCTACTGCCTCAAACACAAAACCGATGCTTGGAACAAATGCAGGTTTTCCCAGTGGTACTTACGCTATTCCTTCTAGTCAATCACCGCAAACATTATTATTTTCGCCCGTCAATGTCATATCACAATCACCTCAACAACAACAAAGTTTATTGCAAAACTATGCAGCAGTTGCTGCAAATGCACAACAGCAACAACAAAACGCTAAAGTAAACTCAGAAGCACAAAAAAATTTGCAACAGAAAGTTGTACAAAAAGTAACTACAACTACGAATACAGTTCAGTCAGCGTCTGGTACTGGAGGTGTTTCAGCAGTTGCACAACAGCAACAACAACAATCAAGTCAACAATGCGTTCAGGTATCTCAGTCTGCAATGCCAACAGCTACACAAATTATAAGCCCATTACAAAGCGCTACTGGAACTCCACAACAAATGCAAATATCTGCCCCTTTTTTACAGAGTGTACCATTTTGGACAAATGGATTGCAACATTTAACCCAAAACTCTATTATTATACGAGGTACACAACCTGACGGCACTCATGGAATGTTTATACAACAACCTGCTCCCCATCAGACGTTACAAGCACAACAACCAAGCCGTAAGTATATTTTGCAATATTGTATGATGTTCGATAAATACATTTGTATAAACATATATTGTTTTATTAGAAATATCACTGCAGTGTAATGTGACTCAAACACCTACTAAAGCACGTGGACCAATTGACAATATTTCTCAAAAACAACAAAACCATCAAGTACAACCACAGCAGACTGTTGGTTCTCAGTTACAAGTTGCGCAACAACGTTCTTCTCAGATATTGGCACAAGGTGGGGCTCAAATACGACCAGCTAGTTCTGTTTCTACACAAACCGCTCAAAATCAAAACTTAATTAAGCATAAATTGCGTAATAAACATCAACCTGTGCGTCCTGCAATGCCAACATTGAAGACTGAAAATGGACAACTACAACATAAAGCGCAGTCAGTAAGTTCTGGTACTGCAAGTAGCCTGCAACAACAATTACCAACCGCTATCGCTCAACAACCTACCATGCATCAAGTTGTGACAGGAAATAAGTAAGTGGGAAATCAAAATAAAAATTTTTCCAGATAATATAAATATAGTTAAAAAGGTAAACTCAAAACAACAATTTTATATATAATTTTTATGCTAGAATGGTGGTTATGAGTGCTGGCACCCCTTTAACTATACAAAATGGTCAAACAATACAAGCTCCTACAACTCATGTAGATAAACAGCAACAACAAATACAACTTCAACAAATTCAAAAACAGCAGCAACAACAAGTGTTGCTGCAGCAGCAATTATTACAACAACAAATTGCACAAATACAGCATCAACAACAACAACAGTTGCAACACCAACAGTTACAACAGCAGCCACAAACGCAACAAATTCATCTTCAAGTTGCACCCCAAACATTTTTATCTCAACAACAGCAACAAAGCCAATTACAAAGTCAGATAATGCAGCAACAACAGATACAACAACATCGTGATCAGCAGCAACAACAAAACATAATCCATCAAATCGTCGTACAACAATCTCCACAGCAGCAAATAACAGCTGTGCCACTCTCAGTCTCATCTTCAACCCCTGCCAGTATTGCATCCTCTACTGCAGCTGCTTTACAGCAACATGTAAACTTTCAAACCAAAACGACAACTGCACCTACAACTACATCCGTAGTTACTATAACAAATCAATCTGGTCCACTAGTAACAAGTACAGTAGGCCTTAATCAAAATCCACAAATACAACAGCAGCAGAACTTAGTTGCGGCGACTATAGCTGTATCGCAACAACAACAAATAGCACATCAAATTGTTCCACCAACACCTACATCGCAAAATACAACACAAACACTATCACAAACGAGGTCTGCTTCTGCTCAAAATCCTATTCTAGCAATGACATCCATGATGAACGCGGCGGCCTCTGCACAATTGAGTCATTCTCATCAAACTTCAAATTCATCGACAGTTACAAACGCAATTTCTTCACCAAATTGCAATATTAATTCACAACCCTCCACGCCTCAAAAAAATATTAATGATCTTAATCAGCAACAAAAAGCGATTCATTCACCATTACCTTTACAGCACGCAGCTGATATCAGTCGTGGTATAACTGTTTCTTCTGCTTCTAGTAATAGTACTGAAAGTAAGGACTTAAACACAAAAGTTATATTAGGAACAACGATAGTGACATCCTCACCTCTTCAAAACCCGGAACCTCACACCACAACTAATTCTGTTTCTGATACAACAGCAGCAAATGTTACATTAAATGCCGAAATTTTAATGGATACAATTCAAGCTTCCGTACAACAGAACATTCATCAGTTAGATGAAACGAATACACCGATAATACAACAATCAAGTGTGTCACAAACTAAATCTAATAGTAAGTAAAAAATATTGTTAAGTAAGCAATCAAACTTTGTAATTTTTTACTAGCTTACTAATAATTAATTTATTTAGCAGTCGGCCGAGAAGATAAAATAAATCCGAGTGAAAACTGTGAAAAAGCCAGTGTAATTCCTTCATCTCTTGATGAAAATTGCTTTAGTAACAACAAATGCGTCAATAATATTACAAATAGTACAGCGCCATCTAAGACAGCTGGTCCAATAATCGCAAAGGATTTGCCTAAAGCAATGATTAAACCAAACGTCCTTACCCATGTCATTGATGGTTTCGTTATTCAGGAGGCAAGTGAGCCATTTCCAACAACACGACAACGTTACACAGATAACGATACTAGTGATGAACCACCAAGTATGTTTATGAAAATATCGACTTATTTTTCTTGCTTTTATTTTTTTTATTTACTTGGTGACTCTGCTCCCTGTGAGCTTCGGTCGCCCACCCCTTTATATTCATACCTACTCTTTCATATTCAACAATATGTGTGTGCTTTTAACATGCAATCCCAACATTAAAAAAAAAAACAAGTATTGTGACACAATCTAACATTAGCAGCTGTTTTATATGTTAAATTAGTATTTTTGATATTAATACCCCTCACTAGTACGCTTTTGCACTAAAATACGAGATAATCTATAGGTAGGAATATCAAAACATTCCTGCAGGAATCTGTTGATATTTACCATGTCATTATTGACAATAATTATCCGAAATGGTATGTGGCAATTAGGCGTGAGTTTGAAAAGTTTCAAGAGCGGAGATGATCTTTTTTCCCGCAATGGAGATAGTTCTTGCCAATGTGCTTATCTTGCTTCTAGGCAAATTAAAAAAAAAATTGAATGATAAGTAGATATGCCAGGAAATTCAAATAGTAATTTTTTATACAGGTTCTAGGACTGACAATATTTTTACATGAATTTTAATAAAATTTATGCAAAATCACATTATATTATAATTTCCTGTTTTACGCACACTCAAATTTATCGCACAATTTTTATAGATTACAGAAATTCTTAAAAAATTTTTTTAGGATCATGCAAGGATTTTGTCGTTTTTAACGAAACGTTCTAAAAGTTATGAAAACAATCTCTTATACTTTTACTTTTTTAAATATAATTAAAATTTTACTTCAGAATGAAACCAAAACATAGGTTTAGTGATGCTGGTAGCAATAAAATAACGAAATACTTTTATTTATATGTGGTGGTTAACTTTTGTATATACAGCGTTGCAAAAAATTGTTTCCCTTTATAATTTTATTTGAGTTATAAAATATATTGAAACATATTAATATTTGACTTCGATTTTTTTTTACTTTCACACTTAAAAAATAGTACGCTTAACTTTTTTCTTCGTTCCATCCACTTTTCAGTCCTCTTTCCTTTTCCTCTAACTTTTCAATTTTTAACTATCTTCATTTACATTTTCTATTTGAATTTACAACACAATATTACAAAAAAGTTCTATATTAATCTTATTTATACATATCACTTTGAAGATTTGAATAAGTTTTTTAGAAACTGAATTATACGTTTAATACAGATCTCTATTTAATATATTAAATTTGTTCCACTATGTTAAAAATATGCAAACGCATATTTCAGACAATCCCAAAATAGGCAAATATATTTCCTTTCCGTGAAACGAATTAGTGTCTTGGTCCGACATCTCTACAATAACAATTATAATGACCCTTGCTCGACGTCGAGTAGCCTTTTATGCTGCGCATAGGCTGTCTATAAGTCGGTTCCACCTTTTGCGCCGCAACGCTACGTCCTTTATATCAGGAATGTTACTTATTCTTCTTCCTAGGGGCTGCAAAACGGTATTTTTAACGTTGACTTTCTCCATGTTGTTTTTGGACGACCTCTTCCTCTGCTAACTTGTAGGTTGTATATCAACGCCTGCTGATAAATTTCGGTAGAAGCCTTTCGAAATGTATGCTCGATCCATCCAAATATTCTTTTGCGAATTTCAAGGTTGACATCTTTTACATTTGTTCTAGTCCAAAGGTCTGGATTTGATATTCTGTTTCGCCAGAAAATACGCAAAATTTTGCGGAGACATCGGTTGACAAATACTCTCAGCTTATAGGTTTTCCGTTAAAAACCAGGTTTCGCAAACTTAGAGAAATGAAAGAACGCAAGCTTTAAAGATTTTTATTTTTGTTCGTAAACTATTGGTATTGGAGCTTCACACTTTACGAAGCCTTGTAAAAGCACCAAGGGCTATCTTTATTCTACTTATCACATCTTGCGCTGTACCTCCATTTTCAGACACAATATTCTCTAGATACTGGAATTCATTTACGCGCTCAATGGTCTCCGTTTCCAATTTCAAAAGTTCGTCAATTCGATTGTTTATTCTGACTTCTTTTGTTTTTTGTGCATTGATTTTCAGTCCGACTTTGCAGGACTCTAAAGACAAGGCATTAAGTTTCTATTACCAAGCCGATGTGACAACTCGCATTTGTCGTCAGCATAGTCTACACACTCGAGCCTAGTGTTCAGTGACAGTGGGTTCCATATAATACCTCGTACCTATCCTTTATTTGTTCTACTGGCCACTGCGTCAAGAACACATAGAAATAGCAGTGGGGAAAGGACGCATCCTTGACGTACGCCAGAAATTGTACAAAAAGTCTCAGACAGTTTGTTGTCGTGTAAAACTGAGCACTTAAATTGATCGTAGCTTTTTGCAATTACGGAGACTGTTTTAGCCGGAACACCAATATTTTTTAACTCTGCCCATATGCAATTTCTATTTAACGAGTCAAACGTTTTTTTTCAAAATCGATAAAAAGCAGATAAAGGGGGGATCGCATCTCTATTGATTGTTCTATGATTATTCTAAGACTGTTAATATGGTCAACACAGAATCTTCCGCTTCTGAAACCCGCTTTCTCTGGTCGTAGTAGTACTTCACCAACTTTTAACATTCTTTAAAGTATAACTTTCATAAATATTTTCAGAACTTTAAACCGTAATGCCGCGCCAGTTATTACAGTCACTTAGTTCTCCTTTCTTGGGTAGTTTAATTACAATGCCATGAAGAGTTGCTAGTTGCAAATCAATTTTCAGCGCTTCGGTCAGAATATTATCAAAACCTGCAGCTTTTCCGATTTTCAACAATTTTATTCCATTGGTTACTTCTCTTTTTGAGGGAAGATCAACCCTAATCGGTAATTCATTTACTTTGTCATTTTACCTTCACGTTCTAGGTTCAATATTTGAATAAAATGTTGACGCCATCGGTTTAGCTGATCATTTACGTTTTTCAAAAGCCCATTAGAGAGATTCTCGACAGGGAGGGTTCTTTTGACCCTTTCGCCTGTTAGTTTCTTTGTTATATCAAAGAGATTCTTCATATTATTTGATAACGCTGCATTTTCCGCTTTATTTACCATATTGTTAGAGAATTTTTTCTTATCGTCCCGAATTGCCTTTTGACACGTTTGTCCAGATGCATGTATTCCGTTTGCGTTCCCTTTCGATCATTAGGCTTCTTTATGGTATTTATCCTATGTTTAAGTTTTGCTCATTGTTCTATCGTTATCCAGGTTTGTGCTGAGATGAAATTGTCTCTGTTATTATTTGAAGCTCTACCTAAGGTTTCTATGCAGGTTTCATTAATAGCCGTTTTTATGTTGTTTCAGCAATGTTGGGGATTTAGGTTGTCGTGAAAAATTTTGCTTTATATTTTGTGTTTTCAATTTAAAGAACTTGTATTTGATTCCGCTACAGCTACTCGACTTCTGAATTCTTATTGGGTTGACTAGTATTTTGCCAACTAGTAGGTGGTAATCAGAGCTAATATCGGCACCTCGTTTTTTTCTTAAATCGACTAAATAGTTACTCTATTTTTTCGTAACACAAATATGATATATTTGATTTTGTGTTCTCATATACATTGTTTTATACGAAAAAGCGTGCCTATTATTTCTATATTGAATCGAATTATTATTATTTCTATATTGAAATGAATTGTTATTATTATTTCTATATCGAATCGAATCGTTGTTATTACTCTTATTTGAAAATTTCCTTAAATAATTGTTATGTTATTGAGTTCCGTCATTCTTATTGAAATTTCCTTTATAAAAATAATCCGTTTCAATTAAGATTTGTTTTGTCTTTAGCAATGCTTCTGGATTTCGAGCTTGTAATATTAATTTGGCTTCGCTAGGAAGTTTATTAATAAATATTTTTAATATCATTTTTTCATTAGATTTAACATCATACCAATCGTTCTGATTTTTATTAATACTTTGTTTTAAATTTAATTTAGTTAATAAACTTACTATATAGTCATAGAACTCGTTAATTGAGTTTCGGCATTCTGCAAAATTAATTTTATTAATAATGTTTTCAATACTATCAGCGATGCTGCAGTTTATTTTCAAAATTTCTTTTATATTTTTCCAATCGAAAGGGTTACCATTATTTAGGAGTGTAATATTAGCTTTATCATTAATTTTGTGTCGAATACGAAAATCAAAAACTTTTATAATTTCTGGATATAAGCTATCAACCATTTTACGTAATTCGTCAACGTGAGTGATGAATAATTCCAATTCCTCCGGCTTTCCTCCAAATTCTGGTATGCAGTTCAGAAAGTTAAATATCATCCCTCGATCCATATTATTTTTTTTTCCAAATATTTATATCTTATGAAAAATTTTAACTATTTAATAGTTTTATTTTATTTCGCTTTTTCAAAAGTGAAATTATAAGGTACATAACACTTTTTATGTCTTTTAAAATATTATTAATTAATTAATTCACAACGGTTTTATATAAGTCCGTTACCGACTGCGCCAATTATATATATATATATATATATGTATTTATTGTAAACACAGGTTTTAAATTTTAGAATCTTTATTTTTTCCAACTTGTTTACACAATGCGAATCTTAAGACTAACTTAAAAGTAATTTTTTAAACAAAAAAATTAAACAAAAATATAGTGCAATTTTTCTCTACAAACAATACTCCGTCATGGGTTTGTTGTTGCTATTTATTTATTTCAAAAATAACATAGCTAATAATAACAAAATAGCTTAACCTATGTATTATATTAATATGGATGATATTGTACCGATTACCAAGAGTATTAAGGTAGTTCAAGTATACATTCTTCGAGTTATTGTAATTCGGAGGGCAGTATATAGTTGATACTGTTAACTGGCCTTTTGTATCTTGAATGTGGACACTTGTAACTTGTATTTGATCTGTTTGGTGTATATTGGCTATCGAACATTGTTTTGCTTAATAATCACTGCTGTTCCGCCGTGGGCCTCGTTATCAGGATGATTTGTTTGATATATCGAATAGTTACGAATTTTGATAA